ATATATATATATATATATATATATATATATATATATATATATATATATATATATATATATATAAATATATATATATATATAAATATATATATATATATATATATATATATATATATATATATATATATATATATATATATATATATATATATATATATATATATATTTATATATGTATATATATGCAAAGATTTGTAATATCTTTGCTGTATAAATAGGTAAATGAATAAATAAATTGTATATATTTTGTTGTTTCTGTGTTGTTTCATTCAATTTTATGTATTTTCCATCATGGGTTGTATAAATAATTATTAAGATTATTACTTATGTTGACACCTTGTTACTGTGTCGTTTCATTTAACTTGATTTATACAATATATGGCGCTACTCGACTTTCTCCCCCCCCCCCCCTGTTTTTATGATTGATTTTTATAGAGTACATTATACTGATTCTAAATCATATAAAAACTTAGGTCTGAAAACTTGAGGAAAGTACTCTAATTTGGTGTAAAAGTATAAAAATCCACATTAAAAAACGCTAACATTCCACCATCTTTTTAAAAACATTTTTACACTGTTTTCAAAATTTAGGTTAGTAATTTTTTAACTAACAACCCGGTTTTTATTGTTGTTTTTATATTCTTTGATGTACATACATCGACTGACAAATAGGAATTGGCGCAACTAAATGTACATGCATCGACTGACAAATAGGAATTGGCGCGATTAAATGTAAATACATCGACTGACAAATAAGGATTGGCGTAAATAAATGTACATATATCTACTGACAAATAGGAATTGGCGTAATTAAATGTACATGATTTGGGTCAGGGTTTGGTTGGGGCAAGAAATCAATAAAAAAATGCGTTTTAAATTGAAGCGTCGATAGAAACCAGGTTGTTATTGAAAAATAATTTTATCATAACCGAGTATGACAAAGATGGTGGAATATTAGCTTTTTTTAATGTGGATTTTTATACTTTAACATCAAATTAGAGTATTTTCCTCAAGTTTTCAGACCTATGTTTTTATATGATTTAGAATCAGTTTAATGTATTCTATAAAAATCAATCATAAAAACAGGGGGGAGGGGGGGGAGAAAGTCGAGTAGCTCCCAATATATTATAATGTTTATATGATGCATACATATTCATTATGTATGTATGTATGTATGTATGTATGTATATATATATATATATATATATATATATATATATATATATATATATATATATATATATATATATATATATATATATACATATATATATATATATATATATATATATATATATATATATATATATATATGTATATATATATATATATATATATATATATATATATATATATATATACATGTACAAATTATGTTAGTGTATTCTGCAAACAGAGTGATGTTTGCAATTGCAATGCTCTTAAAGAACAGAGCAATTGAGATTGCGTAGCCAGAGTTGGAGTTGCGACATTGAAAGTGAGTCAAAGTTGCTAAACAAAATCGCAACTCTGACTCTAATAGTAAAACTTCTCTATATTGCATGTGCATGTAAAAATTATTTAACCATCAAAGAACTTTTCATATATATTTGGCAAATAAGATTTTTTTAATCATTGCATAATATCGTTTTAAAGAATTCAAAGAAATATTCAAAAATTTTGCTTTGGAGTTGGAATTGGAGTCAGAGTCGTTCTCTGTGATATTTTTTTTTTTTTT